GACATGCACACACGTGTGTTTCCACAGATGGATCTAACCTCTCTCTGTGCTGCAGGTGTCCTTCGCGGGGCAGGCCTTCAGACTGGGTCGGTACCCGATCCACTGGCATCTGATGGGAGACGTGGGCTACAAGTCGTACGTGAGGGGCTGCGCCATTCACCACACGTTTAACCGAGCCGTGACCATCCACAACACGCACCGGCTGCTGGTGGAGCACAACGTCATCTACGACATCATGGGCGGCGCCTTCTTCATCGAAGACGGCATCGAGACCCAGAACATCCTGCAGTACAACCTGGCCGTGTTTGTCAAGCAGAGCACCAGCCTGTTGAACGATGACGTCACGCCCGCCGCCTACTGGGTCACCAACCCCAACAACATCATCCGCCACAACGCCGCCGCCGGAGGGACACATTTCGGTTTCTGGTACCGGATGCACCAGCACCCGGATGGCCCGTCCTACGACCCGAACATCTGTCAGAAGAAAGTTCCACTGGGGGAGTTCTTCAACAACACGGCCCACTCCCAAGGCTGGTTCGCTCTGTGGATCTTCCAGGACTACTTCCCGGTGAAGGAGGGCAAGTGTGGCTCGAAACAACCAGAACCCGCCGTCTTCAACAAACTCACGGCCTGGAACTGTGAGAAAGGAGCAGAGTGGGTCAACGTGGGCGCGGTCCACTTTAACAACTTCCTCATGGTCAACAACGAGAAGGCGGGAACCGAGCACAAGCGAATCCTCATCAACTACATCGATTCTTTCAGCCCAGAAGGCGGGGCCGTGGTGTCGAACAGTGTGATCGTGGGCCGTGTGGATGAACTGGGCCTGGACCTCTGCACCTTCAGAGGCATCATCGCGCCGCTGGACGACGGCCTCAGCGTTATCAACACCACATTCATCAACTTTGACCGAAGCGGCTGCGCGGCCATCGGCGTGGCCAGGATAGACGGGACGTGTATCGACAAATGTGGAGGGTGGGCCGTGAGGTTCTCCCACATCACGTACCACAACACGCCAAACAAAGCCGGGTTCAGGTGGGAGCACGAGGTGCAGCTGCTGGACATGGACGGGACTCTGACAGGTGAACTTCTTTATACAAACCTTTGTCCTTTTGTAAATCAGTATTTTCAGAATGATTCAAAAACAAATGCACAGATCATCAGAAGAATCAACATGAATACAAAGAAAAAATAATAATTTTAATTTTCAAACTGCTCCCTCTGGTGGTGTCAGGAGTTACTACGGGTCACGTTCATAAAGACATCGGCCAAAGACATTTACCCATTCACATGTTCTACTAAACATGTACCATTCACATGTTCTACTAAACATGTACCATTCACATGTTCTACTAAACATGTACCATTCACATGTTCTACTAAACATGTACCATTCACATGTTCTACTAAACATGTATCATTCACATGTTCTACTAAACATGTGCCATTCACATGTTCTACTAAACATGTACCATTCACATGTTCTACTAAACATGTACCATTCACATGTTCTATTAAACATGTACCATTCACATGTTCTACTAAACATGTACCATTCACATGTTCTACTAAACATGTACCATTCACATGTTCTATTAAACATGTACCATTCACATGTTCTACTAAACATGTATCATTCACATGTTCTACTAAACATGTACCATTCACATGTTCTACTAAACATGTACCATTCACATGTTTACTACTAAACATGTACCATTCACATGTTCTACTAAACATGTACCATTCACATGTTCTACTGAACATGTACCATTCACATGTTCTACTGAACATGTACCATTCACATGTTCTACTAAACATGTACCATTCACATGTTCTACTAAACATGTACCATTCACATGTTCTATTAAACATGTGCCATTCACATGTTCTACTAAACATGTACCATTCACATGTTCTACTAAACATGTACCATTCACATGTTCTATTAAACATGTGCCATTCACATGTTCTACTAAACATGTACCATTCACATGTTCTATTAAACATGTACCATTCACATGTTCTACTAAACATGTACCATTCACATGTTCTATTAAACATGTACCATTCACATGTTCTACTAAACATGTGCCATTCACATGTTCTACTAAACATGTACCATTCACATGTTCTACTAAACATGTACCATTCACATGTTCTATTAAACATGTGCCATTTCACATGTTCTACTAAACATGTACCATTCACATGTTCTACTAAACATGTACCCTTCACATGTTCTACTAACACTGTTATACCATTCACATGTTCTACTAAACATGTACCCTTCACATGTTCTACTGAACATGTACCATTCACATGTTTCTATTAAACATGTACCATTCACATGTTCTATTAAACATGTACCATTCACATGTTCACATGTCTATTAAAACATGTACCATTCACATGTTCTACTAAACATGTGCCATTCACATGTTCTACTGAACATGTACCATTCACATGTTCTACTGAACATGTACCATTCACATGTTCTATTAAACATGTACCATTCACATGTTCTATTAAACATGTACCATTCACATGTTCTACTGAACATGTACCATTCACATGTTCTATTAAACATGTACCATTCACATGTTCTATTAAACATGTACCATTCACATGTTCTATTAAACATGTACCATTCACATGTTCTACTAAACATGTACCATTCACATGTTCTATTAAACATGTCATTTCACTTTCTAAACCATAAACTAAATTAAAAGTATCATTTTGATTTCTTATGGATAAAACAATGCATAATATTTATTTTTTAAGGCGTGTGTTTTTAACTCTGTTATGCAGATTTAAAATACAGTTTAAATTCAATGCCTTCATTCACAAAAAAACTTTATTTTATTTGTTTAATGTTTTTATTTTCAGGACATAAAAACTACAAAGTGGTTCCAACGTCGGGTCTGCTGGACCCGGCCCACTGCTCCCAGAGCCCGGACTGGAGCGTGGCCTTTAACGGCTCCGTCTGTGACGACTCTGTCAACTTCCACCGTTTGGCTTTTAACAATCCTCTGCCGTCGTCTATCGCCGGACACGACACGCTGCTCAGCAACCAGTTTGGTAAGAGCTCTAACTAACTCTAACTTAACTCTAAAATAACTCTAACTAACACGACACGCTGCTCAGCAACCAGTTTGGTAAGAGCTCTAACTAACTCTAACTTAACTCTAAAATAACTCTAACTAACACGACACGCTGCTCAGCAACCAGTTTGGTAAGAGCTCTAACTAACTCTAACTTAACTCTAAAATAACTCTAACTAACACGACACGCTGCTCAGCAACCAGTTTGGTACAAACTCTAACTAACTCTAACTTAACTCTAAAATAACTCTAACTAACACGACACGCTGCTCAGCAACCAGTTTGGTACGAACTCTAACTTACTCTAACTAACTCTAAGTTACAGTTGTCCCTGTACTTTAGCAGAACATATCCCTCTGTCCCACAGGAGGGAGCTCCGTCCCGTACATGAAGAAGAGGATGACCCACAAACTGGGCTGGATGGCTCTGTTACCCTCAGACATGACCTACATGTGGAGCTTTGATGATGCAGAACACATTACTAACATCTCCTACACCGCCACCTTCTACGGATTCAAGGTCTGCAACACTTTATTAAACATAATTTAACTTCATTTAACATAATTGAACTGGTGCTTAAGGGGAAGAAGTGGATGGATGGATATTATAAATGTGAACACATATTTATATATAATGTGTTCTGTTGTGAAACAGCCGTCTGAGTTTGTGATCATCGGCCACAACTTCACCCAAAGTCCAGACCGGTTCCACGTCGTGGACAACAGGAACGGCTCCGCGGCGCCTCTGAGCTTCAGCCAGAACCAGAACGGGGACTGGTACTTCCACGAGGAGGACAACAGTCTGTACTACATGGGTCTGTACTGACGCCTTTAGGTTTAAATATTCATCATAACAGTAATAATAATCCTTTTTTTACATTCCCATGAAACCTCAAAGCTCTTTGGAAAAGTGTGACAGAAATATAAAAGTGAGATATAGTGAAATGACTTCTTACAGGCCTTACTTAAAATACGCTGCGATTTATGATGAGATAGAATCAGAAATCTTTTTTCATACAGCATAGAATAAAACAAACAGGAGCTCAGAGTTATTATATTCTCGTTGGAAGTGACAAACTAAGGTCTCCTGCAGCTGTGACAGAGGAAATACTCAGACGACCCAAAACCAACGATAAAACCAACGATAAAACCAACGATAAAACCAACGATAAAACCAACGATAAAACCAACGATAAAACCAACGATAAAACCAACGATAAAACCAACGATAAAACCAAACTATGTCCTGCTCCTTTTCAGCGTCATGTTCTGTTTGTGTCCTTTTCTTTATGCATTTGACAGACTCTGTGAGGTGAATATCTTGTGTTTTAACAGAGGCTCAAATAAATAAATAAATGTCTACATATATTTTGAGAATAACTTCCCTAGTTTCTGTACAGATGGACTTTATGACCTTGTTAAATAGTTTGTGGTCTGAACAGGACGACTCCAGCTTTAACAGACCCTGTCTCTCTTGGTTCTCAGTGTCTGGTAAAACGAGTGAGCCCAGGTCCAAAGGCAGCGCTGACCCGTCTCTCTCTGATGTGGACGTCCAGCTGAAGGTCTACAGATGCTTTTACCCACAGTGCATTGCGCCCACACCCCCCCCTCCAGCCACCCTGCCCCCCCTGCCCAACAAGAGGCCCGACAACTTCATGTAAGACCTGTTCCAGTCCAGACTGGGTTTGACACACGGCTCTCCTGTAGTTATGCAAACACCAGTGACTTTTCTATTTGATGGATTATTTATTATTAATATTATTATTATTATTATTTCTGCACTGGTCAAAAACCAATGTTTTCCTGTGATTGGATATTGTAAGACATAATAATGATTATTGTTCTGTTCCACAAGCTAATATTAAAGCCCCATTACCTGCCTTTAACTTAAATAACACAGCATTTCTTTCACCTTGAGGTCTTGTATTGGTGGCAGAGGAGAAACCATTACATCATGAGTTTGAATCCCACAAACCTGACTTGGACCAGACGTCTGTAGAAGTCTTTCTGTTGTTTCCAAGAAAACCTTTTGCTTTTGAGGCTGTAATCCTCAACAATAATATGACTTTTCAAACTTATAAGAGAGTGAAGCCTGGACAGACATGCACTGGTTAGACACGCCTCCGCAGGCTTCTGATTGGACGAAATAAATTCCAATCCTTGGGACCCTTCGTCATTGGTTTAACTGTTCTCCTCCAGAACAATCTTACTGGTTGTAGTTTTGTGAAGGGAAGGGACTGTTTTGAATATATTATTGTTGAAAGTTACTTACTGAACATGATAGTACAATGTCCTGTGGTCAGAATTATGTATTATTTAAAAAATGAAATACACGTGAAGTTAATGAGTTCACCTTTAAACAGGTCAATACCTCACTGATAAGTGATAAGTGTCCTTGTTCTCTGCAGTCGATGGTCTGATGCGTCTTTTTGGACCTCTTCGTCTGATAATAACAACACAGTCCCAGCAGAGGGCGCTGATGTGGTCATCCCAACAGGTGACGCTCACTCTGCAGCATTTTCACACATATTTTCTGCTTATAGTGTATTCAAGATTCATTTGATCGTGTCTCGTGAGAAAGATGTGTCTTGGATTCGCAGACTCCACACACACAGACGACAATCACAGAATTCCATGATACGTGTGATTGTTCCAGCTTCTTCCCTCCCTGCAGGTCAGTGGGTGGTTTTGGACGACAGCACTCCTGCTCTGAACAGACTCACGGTGAACGGAGTCTTGGAAATCCCCGATGACTTGAGCTCAAACAGCAGCAGCAGAAGAAGAAGATCCACAGACGGTCCCGTGGTCATCGAGGCCACACACATCATGATCCAGGTCTGTGGAGAGGTCACACACGCTAAACATCCCTCTCAGGATTATATCTGTGAAGGAAGTGCAAAGGCCAAAAAAGGTCCTGAAGCTAGAATTGAAAAACAGTTGAACTAAATCCAACTTTGATGCTAGAGATAGATTTTGTTTTATTTTGATTAGTACAGCTATTGTTCACTTCTCGGTGCTGGGTGCTCCGCTTTCCTACTGTTCTGTAACTTCTGAAATTTCCCCACTGTGGGACAAATAAAGGATCTATTCATCTTAATCTTAATCTTTCTAAACTTGTCTTTTTGTTGAATCAAATCCATCTGTAATATATTTGTCTTGCCTCAAGCAGGTGGCTAACTGCACATCACCTTAAACATGTTATAAATAATAATAATCTTTTCACCATGTAACGACATCGTTGTTTTTAGATCCATCCATGCTCATTTCAGGATTGTGTGTCTCTGTACCACTATGACGTCATGCTCAGGGCCTGTTCTACCTTTTTAAAACAAAAGTATTGACCAACATTTAGTTTATTAGATCCCATGTCTGACTCAAAGCCTCCCCCTGGTGGCAGCATAGGGAGCTACAGGCAGAAAGCATGTTTTACCCTTTATGATTTCTATTTATGATATTATTCTACATTCTAAACGTTTTTCTTCTTTAAAACAATCATCTATTCATCTAGAGCCACATGTTTCTTTGCCTGTGTCTCTGGTCCCTCAATTGTCACTGAAACAATATAAACAATATAATATAATCGTAGTAGTAGTTTATCTGAGCAGTTTTACGCTTATGTATTTTTACAGGTACATAATAATAATAATAATAATAATGCATCGGTTTTATATAGCGCTTTTTTGGACACTCAAAGAAGCTTCACATGTCATTATTCATTCACTCCATACACGGTGGTGATAAACTACTACTGTAGCCACAGCTGCCCTGGGGCACACTAAAAGAAGCGAGGCAACCAGTATGTGCCATCGGCCCCTCCGACCACCACCAACCATTCACACACACACCAGACTCATTCTAGGCAATGGGGGTGAAGTGTCTTGCCTAAGGACACAACAGCAGTTTGGCACTTTACAGCCGCAGCCGCCCCACTGTGGCTGCTGTTCCCAGAGGTTAAGTGTCTTGCCCAAGGACACAACGACAGTAGTCATTGGGAGTCGATGGTGAAAGTCTTGAGTGGGGCTTGAACCCACGACCTTCTGGCTCAAAGGCCAACGCTCTACCAACTGAGCTACTAATATCAACATATCAATTGAAAACACAAAGCTCAAAAGGAGAAGGCCAAACGTTTACATGTGCCTTTCCCATGATCAGTCCTTGAAGCGACTGCAAACAGATCGGGGTGAATAATAACAGGCCTGTGTGTTCCAGGGGGGCCGGCTGGTCGCTGGGTCTCCACAGGCTCCATTTGAAGGAGAGCTGCACCTCAGACTGAGAGGGAACCACCTCACCCCAGACTGGCCTCTGCCTGAAGGACCCAACCTGGGATCCAAAGCCCTGGGTAAGAACCTTTCACATCTGCATTTCTGTGTTTTAGACAGAAATGATCAAACCGGTTTCTCCTCAGGTGTGTTTGGGATTCTGGAGCTCTACGGGAAACCATCAGAGGTCTACCACACCAAACTGTCTGCTTCCTCTGCCGCTGGAACCAACACTCTGGCTCTGGCCACGGCTGTGGACTGGAAGGTCAGTCTGGTCTTGGCCTTGATTTAAAGCTTGTGTTTCCAAACTTCTTTCATAAATACAATGTTTTTGTTTGTAAGAAAGAGCGCTGTGAGTCGCTGAGAGGGACTCACACTGGTCACATGCAGAAAGTGTGAAAGTGCACATTGGAGAACAGTAATAAACCTCTATTTCCACTGGACGTCTTTAATCTAACTCGATCTAATAGTGTGCTTTGTAATTTGACTTATGTGGCTGGAAAATGTTTAGCACAAATTAAAGCTGGGTTACCTAACATTTAAATTGGAACATGATAAGTTCCATCCAAGTAGTTAGTTCTCACACTAGTTTTCATGTATTTTTGCCTCATTCCACTTTTTAATGATAAAAGTGAAAGGACCAGGATCATGTTCCAGCCTAAAGCTTCACAGAGCGACTCATGGGGCTTTCTTTAGTTTGTTTCTAATGAGACTTTCCTTTCACAGATCTCTTGCTGTTGTGACAAATACAGAACAAATGTATTTGAATAAAGACGTATGTTCTCCAGATATAACTTCATAAAGTAAATAATCATGTTGATAATTGTGTCCTCAGGTCGGTGATGAAGTGGCCATCTCCACCACCAGCTACGACGCCTGGGAGACGGAAAAACACGTGATCTCTGCCGTGTCCCAGGACGGACTGATGCTGACTCTGGACACGCCTCTCGCTCACACACACATCGGTCAGCCTCAACCTCACACACACATTTACTAACACACATACTAAATGTAGAAAATTCATTTTGTCTTCTTATGTTTATGACTTTTTAGGTTCTTCTAATAAGACAATTAAAGCAAAACAAAGCTAGTGCTGCTTAATTACCTGACATGTTTCGGCGGTACCGCCGAAACATGTCAGGTAATTAATATATATTCATATGTATTCCTACACGTGTCCTCTGCGCAGCTGAAACCCACGCCGTCGCTGGTACGGCTCACAGCTACACGCTCGCCGCTGACGTGGCTCTTCTGAGCAGGAATATTAAGATCATCGGAGCCGAGTACGAGGAGATGGAGAAGGAGTCGTTTGGAGCCCGGGTTCTGGTGGGAACCTTCTCCTTTGGGGGAATAGACTACAAAGGTACATGATTAAACAGAAACAACTTATAACTAATACAAACTGGGAAAATTAGAATATTGTACAAAGGAAATGGACTTTGGCTTGTAACTGTACTAACCCAACCTTTAATGTTGGTTTAAAAACTGTGGTTTATTCGAAATTTGCGCGTTTCCATTAGACATTTTATGATGCGCAAATTCAAATTTCGAAATTTGATGCTCAATGGAAACGCAGCTAGTGAGGGAGGGGGCTTCCAATGAGTGGCAAACATCACTTCTGCAGCGGTCAGCCAGGAGAACCACTGTTTTTAGGCTTTACTGTCTAAAAACTCTTTTGTTTCTTTGTAGAAAGTTGTTTATAACTTTAATGTTTCTTTTCTTGTTCCTGAAGGAAAGGCTCAGATCAGAAATGTGGAGTTCTACCACAGCGGTCAGGAGGGCTGGTCTGACGACTACGACCCGCGCTACTCCGTGGCCTTCCTCAACCTGGAACAGGTGGGACATGGACCTGTGTTGTTAAACGTTTAAAAAGATTCAAATCTGTTTTTTAGATTTAGTGAACCCAGGGACTGGGTGAAAATATAAATAGGACAATTAAAATAATACCATAATAATAGCTACTAACACGACACACACACAGTAGTGTTAGGGTCAGACTAACACGACACACACACAGTAGTGTTAGGGTCAGACTAACACGACACACACACAGTAGTGTTAGGGTCAGACTAACACGACACACACAGTAGTGTTAGGGTCAGACTAACACGATACACACACAGTAGTGTTAGGGTCAGACTAACACGATACACACAGTAGTGTTAGGGTCAGACTAAGACACACACAGTAGTGTTAGGGTCAGACTAAGACACACACACAGTAGTGTTAGGGTCAGACTAAGACGATACACACACAGTAGTGTTAGGGTCAGACTAACACGACACACACAGTAGTGTTAGGGTCAGACTAACACGACACACACACAGTAGTGTTAGGGTCAGACTAACACGACACACACACAGTAGTGTTAGGGTCAGACTAAGACACACACACAGTAGTGTTAGGGTCAGACTAAGACGATACACCACAGTAGTGTTAGGGTCAGACTAAGACGACACACACACAGTAGTGTTAGGGTCAGACTAACACGACACACACACAGTAGTGTTAGGGTCAGACTAAGACACACACACAGTAGTGTTAGGGTCAGACTAAGACACACACACAGTAGTGTTAGGGTCAGACTAAGACACACAGTAGTGTTAGGGTCAGACTAACACGACACACACACAGTAGTGTTAGGGTCAGACTAAGACACACACACAGTAGTGTTAGGGTCAGACTAAGACACACAGTAGTGTTAGGGTCAGACTAACACGACACACACACAGTAGTGTTAGGGTCAGACTAACACGACACACACACAGTAGTGTTAGGGTCAGACTAAGACACACACACAGTAGTGTTAGGGTCAGACTAACACGATACACACAGTAGTGTTAGGGTCAGACTAACACGACACACACACAGTAGTGTTAGGGTCAGACTAACACGACACACACAGTAGTGTTAGGGTCAGAGGTCGTCTCAGCTGAAGCTCCGTACGGTCAAAAGGTCAAAAGGGCAGTAACAAACATTTCTACTTTTGTTAAAGTCAGTCCAGTTCAGTTTAAGGAGAAGCAAAACCTTCCAAAATGAACTGTGTGTGTATCATCGTCATGTGTGTGTATCATCGTCATGTGTGTGTATCATCGTCATGTGTGTGTATCATCGTCATGTGTGTGTATCATCGTCATGTGTGTTAGGGTGTTTCTTATTTTTGAAAATTCGATTTTTGCATGGGCCACCCTGCCATTTGGTTCATTATCACAAAAAAGTAATACCCTATTTATTTATTTTTTTAGAATGATTTTTAGGGGTCGCTACCGACCCTACAGTATCATGTGCATGTGCTTTGATACTACTGCAGCCAATACTGGGCCAAGAAATGGGGCTTGCATTCTTCTAGAGCAGAAGTTTGGGAAAGATATGTTGTGGTTGGCATGTCGTCATCACATTCTGGAAATTATTTTGGAAGCAGTAGTTTTGCTGTGTCTCGGCCCTTCAAGTGGACCTGACATACCACTCTTTAAAAGATTTCAGAAAAGTTGGGTCTCAATTGATTCTACAAAGTACCACACAGCACAGTCTGATAAGAACGCTTCAAATACTCTTACCGATATCACTGATGAAAGAATCATCTTTTGCAAAGATCAACTACAAATCTTTCAACCTCGTGACGACTACCGAGAACTTTTGGAGTTGTCTATTGTTTTTTTGGGAGGAGTACCTTTGAGGGGCATTTCATTTAGAGCTCCTGCCGGTCTACACCGTGCTCGCTGGATGGCGAAAGCTATTTATGCGTTGAAGATTTGGATGTTTAGAGACCAATTCAGGTTAATAAGAGAGGAGAAGGGAATAAGGGATATTTGCCTTTTCACGGTTTGACTGTACATTACAGCCTGGTACAGATCTCCTGAAGCAACCTCAGCTCCTAGACTTGATCTGCAGCTCTTGAAAGACTTGGATGCCTACAAGACCCAGCATCCTGAGATCTCGAAAATTGCTTTGAAGAAGTTACAAGGGCATCTCTGGTACCTATCAGAGGAACTTGTTGCTTTAGTTTTTTTTGATGATGAGGTTCGCCCTGAGACGAAGGTCAAGATGGTCCAAGCATTGAACAATGTTTCAGATCAGATACCTATGAAACGGGCTACTGTGGACTGCTCAGTTATCCAAGAAAAGAAGCTGGAGGACTTTGTCACGTTTAATACACGAAGATTTTTCAGCATCACAGGACTTCCATCACACTTTCTTCAAAACAGTGTGAGCGAATGGGAACATGATGATGAGTTCAAGACTATAAAGTCCACTGTTCGAAGCATGAAGGTTGTCAACGACATTGCAGAACGTGGCGTAGCACTAATGGACGAATATAATAGACTACATACAAACAACGAAGAGCAAAAGCAGTTCCTGTTGTTGGTAGTTCACAAATATAGACAGAAATATCCTGAAAGAAAAAAGACAACTCTCATGAGCGATTAATCTTAGTACAGTAACTATTGTCTTAAATAAACCTACAATCAAAGTAAAAAAGCATGTTAATTCTGTCTTTTAATAAATAAGTAGAAATGCAATGACAGAAAATTGATGTTTTTAATGCATGTAACAAGTAAATAAATGTGTACCGAGTAAATGAGTCATTATCACCAGTCTCCATCAGTTTTATGATTTTTCTTCCTATGTTAATGACTACGAGCGCATAGTAAAATATGCCTTAAATTTCAATGACTGGTAGCACCCAGTAAAAATGTTTTTTTCCCCTTGAAATTTTTACACATTTATTTTCTCACCAAAATGAACCATTTCAGTGGGTGGCCCACTGAAAAACAAAAAACCCCAAAAAAATTTTAACCCCAAATAAGAAGCACCCTAATGTGTGTGTATCATCGTCATGTGTGTGTATCATCGTCATGTGTGTGTATCATCGTCATGTGTGTGTATCATCGTCATGTGTGTGTATCATCGTCATGTGTGTGTATCATCGTCATGTGTGTGTATCATCGTCATGTGTGTGTATCATCGTCATGTGTGTGTATCATCGTCATGTGTGTGTATCATCGTCATGTGTGTGTATCATCGTCATGTGTGTGTATCATCGTCATGTGTGTGTATCATCGTCATGTGTGTGTATCATCGTCATGTGTGTGTATCATCGTCATGTGTGTGTATCATCGTCATGTGTGTGTATCATCGTCATGTGTGTGTATCATCGTCATGTGTGTGTATCATCGTCATGTGTGTGTATCATCGTCATGTGTGTGTATCATCGTCATGTGTGTGTATCATCGTCATGTGTGTGTATCATCGTCATGTGTGTGCGTATCATCGTCATGTGTGCGTATCATCGTCATGTGTGCGTATCATCGTCATGTGTGTGTATCATCGTCATGTGTGTGTATCATCGTCATGTGTGTGTATCATCGTCATGTGTGTGTATCATCGTCATGTGTGTGTATCATCGTCATGTGTGTGTATCATCGTCATGTGTGTGTATCATCGTCATGTGTGTGTATCATCGTCATGTGTGTGTATCATCGTCATGTGTGTGTATCATCGTCATGTGTGTGTATCATCGTCATGTGTGTGTATCATCGTCATGTGTGCGTATCATCGTCATGTGTGCGTATCATCGTCATGTGTGTGTATCATCGTCATGTGTGCGTATCATCGTCATGTGTGCGTATCATCGTCATGTGTGTGTATCATCGTCATGTGTGCGTATCATCGTCATGTGTGTGTGTATCATCGTCATGTGTGTGTATCATCGTCATGTGTGTGTATCATCGTCATGTGTGTGTATCATCGTCATGTGTGTGTATCATCGTCATGTGTGTGTATCATCGTCATGTGTGTGTATCATCGTCATGTGTGTGTATCATCGTCATGTGTGTGTATCATCGTCATGTGTGTGTATCATCGTCATGTGTGTGTATCATCGTCATGTGTGTGTATCATCGTCATGTGTGTGTATCATCGTCATGTGTGTGTATCATCGTCATGTGTGTGTATCATCGTCATGTGTGTGTATCATCGTCATGTGTGTGTATCATCGTCATGTGTGTGTATCATCGTCATGTGTGTGTATCATCGTCATTGTGTGTATCATCGTCATGTGTGTGTATCATCGTCATGTGTGTGTATCATCGTCATGTGTGTGTATCATCGTCATGTGTGTGTATCATCGTCATGTGTGTGTATCATCGTCATGTGTGTGTATCATCGTCATGTGTGTGTATCATCGTCATGTGTGTGTATCATCGTCATGTGTGTGTATCATCGTCATGTGTGTGTATCATCGTCATGTGTGTGTATCATCGTCATGTGTGTGTATCATCGTCATGTGTGTGTATCATCGTCATGTGTGTGTATCATCGTCATGTGTGTGTATCATCGTCATGTGTGTGTATCATCGTCATGTGTGTGTATCATCGTCATGTGTGTGTATCATCGTCATGTGTGTGTATCATCGTCATGTGTGTGTATCGTCGTCATGTGTGTGTATCGTCGTCATGTGTGTGTATCGTCGTCATGTGTGTGTATCGTCGTCATGTGTGTGTATCGTCGTCATGTGTGTGTATCGTCGTCATGTGTGTGTATCGTCGTCATGTGTGTGTATCGTCGTCATGTGTGTGTATCATCGTCCTGTGTGTGTATCATCGTCATGTGTGTGTATCATCGTCATGTGTGTGTATCGTCGTCATGTGTGTGTATCGTCGTCATGTGTGTGTATCGTCGTCATGTGTGTGTATCGTCGTCATGTGTGTGTATCGTCGTCATGTGTGTGTATCGTCGTCATGTGTGTGTATCGTCGTCATGTGTGTGTATCATCGTCATGTGTGTGTATCATCGTCATGTGTGTGTATCATCGTCATGTGTGTGTATCATCGTCATGTGTGTGTATCACAGGTGCAGGACACGTACCTTCAGGGCTGCTCTTTCCACGACGGTTTCTCTCCAGCGATCGGAGTGTTCAACACAGAAGGTCTTTGGATCGAGGACAACGTGATCCACCACACTGTGGGAGAAGGTAACCACACTCTCAGGTCCAGACCAGTCCAGACCAGTCCAGACCAGGCCAGGTCTCATTATGCTGTGGATTGAAGTAGACCATAACCATACATTGCATGGACCATTGCCGATGAGACAGAAGCTGCGTTTCCATTGAATAATGCGCAAAAACTTTTTCGATACATTTCAAAATTCGAAAAACCTGTAATTCGCAAAAGCGGCCGTTTCCATTAAGACATATTCGAATAAGTATACACTATGGTCGCGCGTTTATTCACTAGCTTCTAGTACGTCAACATGGCAACAGAAGTAAACAACACTTTGATTTACGTGAGATATATTAATGTCTTGACTCTCATCCTTAACCGGATTAAGCGTCGGCGGCATCTCCTTCTGAGTGTAATGGAGCGGCGATCTCCGTATACTTGGAGAGGATGCGGATGAGAACCTTTTGGGAAGTCGTGGGACATGATTTCACAGAGGAACTATGGATCCAAAACTTCAGAATGACGCGCACAACATTTGAGGAGCTGTACGGAGCGGTGGGGGCGCTTGTGGCTCCCGCTGCACACTGCCCTAGAGAGGCAGTTCCCACAGAGCATTGCTATTGCTATAACTATAAACTGGCTACTTGTGCGGAGTATAGAGTAGTGGCTGAGACATTTGGAGTGAGCAAGACCACAGTCCATGGGTGTGTTTATGGGGTGTGTAAGGCGTTATGTACAAAACTAATGAAGAAATACATCGCATTGCCAGATGTGAATGAGATAAAAGACATTTCCATGCGTAATTACGCAGCGCAGGGCTTGCCACAAATCTATGGAGCAATAGATGGATCACACATTCGTGCCCCGAAGGATGGCTACAGGGATTACGTTAACAGGAAAGGGTGGCCGTCAGTTACCCTGCAGGCTGTTGTGGGTTTATCAACACCCGGCTTCCTCCGCTATATCGAAATAAGTGTTTCCATTGCCGTTTTGCGAAAAACTTAATTTCGATACGTCCAAAAAACCACAGATTTTAAGCGCATTAACTTTTTATCGAAAATTATGCGCAAATTCAAATTTCGAAATTTGATGCTCAATGGAAACGCAGCTATGGGAGGGGGCTTCCAATGAGTGGCAAACATCACTTCTGCAGCGGTCAGCCTGGAGAACCACTGTTTTTAGGCTTTACTGTCTAAAAACTCTTTTGTTTCTTTGTAGAAAGTTGTTTATAACTTTAATGTTTCTTTTCTTGTTTTGTTCAGTCCTTTGAGTGTCTTGTCTATGAACTGACCATAAAGAGATAAACATGCTTTGCCTTATATTTAACCTGTATGTTAGGGATCAGGGTTTGGGGCCACAACACCACACTGAAGAGGAACCTGGTGATGATGACGCTTTGGCCCGGATCGTACCAGGACCGAGAGGAAGACTTTAACTATGAGTGGAACGCTGCTATAGAGGTCTGTGTTCTACCAAAACATGTTTTTATTTAGTGCAGACTGTGAGTGACTTTGAGCTGTGGTTGGGTTAGAAATTCTTAGTTGAATCATTTGTTTAGCCGACCTCGTAAATGCTACTTCTGCTACTGTGTGGGTAGCAACAACCCGGCAACCATGAGCCAATCAGGAGCACTGCCAGTCTATTCTCTCTTGTGCTGTTCATTAAAGCCAAATTCAGAGACAGCAGGCCCCTGATTGGTCATCAGTTAGGAGACATGTCTGGATTTACAAAGACAATATCAAAAAAACATCAGGATCATAGAAAGCGCTAAACAATTATTTTTTTAAGCCCAAAATGAGTGTGACACAAACCGTTACTGAGACAGAGGAGTTTACTTTAACATGTAAGTCAATAGGAGCCAGAGCGAGATGAAGCAAAACTTTACCCAAGAGCACTTCCCTACTGCACTGCATTGAGCTGAAGGGTGTTACAGCCGTTGTTCTTGATTCCAGGTGAACAGGGCGACTTCTGTGGTTTTGCGGGACAACATCGTGGCGGGTTATGAGCGGGTGGCGTTCCGCATTGATGGGGAACCGTGTCCAGGTAACTCCTCCCCCTGTACCCGTGTGTAGGTGTTACGTTTGTGTATGTCCTGACACGCCCTCTGCAGGAACTCCCAACGACAGTGAGATGTGGCGGCGGAACGAGGCGCACGGCGGTCTGCTCGGCGTGTATCTGAACGAAGATGGCCTCCCTGAATGTTCGCTGATTCAGGACTTTTTTGTTTGGAAAAGCTACGACTACGGGATCTACTTCCAGGTTTGTACATCTCTCCATCTAAAATCTATACTGTTTGATCCTGTCTTAGTTAAGTTAGTTAGTTAGGTAGGTAGGTAGTTAGTTAGTTAGTTAGGTGGGTAGTTAGTTAGTTGGGTAGTTAGTTTGGTAGTTAGTTTGGTAGTTAGTTAGGTAGTTAGTTAGATAGGTAGTTAGTTAGATAGGTAGTTAGTTAGTTAGGTAGTTAGTTAGTTAGTTAGGTGGGTAGTTAGTTAGATAGTTAGTTAGATAGGTAGTTAGTTAGTTAGTTAGTTAGGTAGTTAGGTAGGTAGTTAGTTAGTTAGGTAGTTAGTTAGGTAGTTAGTTAGGTAGTTAGTTAGGTAGTTAGTTAGTTAGGTGGGTGGGTAGTTAGTTAGTTAGTTAGTTAGTTAGGTGGGTAGTTAGTTAGGTAGGTAGTTAGTTAGTTAGTTAGTTAGTTAGGTAGGTAGGTAGGTAGGTAGGTAGGTAGTTAGGTGGGTAGTTAGTTTAGATAGGTAGTTAGTTAGGTGGGTAGTTAGTTAGTTAGTTAGTTAGATAGGTAGTTAGTTAGGTAGTTAGGTAGTTAGGTAGTTAGTTAGTTAGTTAGTTAGTTAGTTAGGTGGGTAGTTAGTTAGATAGGTAGTTAGTTAGGTGGGTAGTTAGTTAGTTAGTTAGTTAGTTAGTTAGTTAGGTCGGTCGGTCGGTCGGTCGGTCGGTCGGTCCCAGCTTTACCATATTCTTAGATTTATCTTTTTATTTCCTGGTTATGAAGGATACATCTATGCAAGGGAAGTTACTAAGCCAAAGTGTGTGTGTGTTCTAACTATAGTGGGCGGCACGGTGGCTGAGTGGATAGCACTCTCGCCTCTCAGCAAGAAGGTCCTGGGTTCGAATCCCGGTCGGACCAGGGCCTTTCTGAGTGGAGTTTGAATGTTCTCCCCGTGTCTGCGTAGGTTTCCTCCGGGTACTCCGGTTTCCCCTACCACTAAAAATATGTCCAATAGTTCTGGCATGCGCCTCCTGTACTGGCCCCTCCCATCTCTGTGTGGAGTGAGAGACAAATGCAGAAACAATTGTAAACCGCTTTGAGACTCAGATCTGCAGTGAAAAGGCGGTATATAAATAAAGATTACTACTACTACTATGCACTTTTTTTTTTGTGTTGATAAATGTGAAAATGTGTAGTTCCTCTGACATGAGAAATGTGTTCAAAATAAATCCATCTGTGGTCGACAAAGTTAAATGCAATTGTTCAGCGTCTAAATGAACGTTTAAATGAACGTTTAAATGGACATTATTCAGACTTTAAACGCTGTAATGTGTTTTTAAGGTGACCCAGAGCATGGTCATCTCCAACGTGACGCTGGTGGACAACGGTCTGGGCGTGTTGTCGCTCATCTACACACCCGCATCCATCACCCACAAGTATTCTGACAAAAGAGTGACCATAGAGGTGAGCTAAGCCTTTCTGAGATTAAAACAAAACCCAAAGTCTATTGTCTGTGTTTATAACGTTGGGATCGTGTCCCCTCAGTCGTCTCTGGTCGTGGGCAGCAGCCCAAACTTCAACTGTTCACAAACTCTTCCCACCGGAGACTTCAATGTCATCAACTCTGCCACACACCGCATCGGCCGACACAAAACAGGTACTTTCATTTAGTAATGTTAGAGTATTAGTATAAGAGAAATAAAACAGGTACTTTCATTTAGTACCGTTAGAATATTAGTATAAGAGAAATAAAACAGGTACTTTCAGTTAGTAATGTTAGAGTATTAGTATAAGAGAAATAAAACAGGTACTTTCATTTAGTAATGTTAGAGTATTAGTATAAGAGAAATAAAACAGGTACTTTCATTTAGTACCGTTAGAATATTAGTATAAGAGAAATAAAACAGGTACTTTCATTTAGTACCGTTAGAGTATTAGTATAAGAGAAATAAAACAGGTACTTTCATTTAGTACCATTAGAGTATTAGTATAAGAGAAATAAAACAGGTACTTTCATTTAGTAATGTTAGAGTATTAGTATAAGAGAAATAAAACAGGTACTTTCATTTAGTACCGTTAGAGTATTAGTATAAGAGAAATAAAACAGGTACTTTCATTTAGTACCGTTAGAGTATTAGTATAAGAGAAATAAAACAGGTACTTTCATTTAGTACCGTTAGAGTATTAGTATAAGAGAAATAAAACAGGTACTTTCAGTTAGTAATGTTAGAGTATTAGTATAAGAGAAATAAAACAGGTACTTTCAGTTAGTAATGTTAGAGTATTAGTATAAGAGAAATAAAACAGGTACTTCCATTTAGTAATATTAGAGTATTAGTATAAGAGAAATAAAACAGGTACTTTCATTTAGTACCATTAGAGTATTAGTATAAGAGAAATAAAACAGGTACTTTCATTTAGTACCGTTAGAGTATTAGTATAAGAGAAATAAAACAGGTACTTTCATTTAGTAATGTTAGAGTATTAGTATAAGAGAAATAAAACAGGTACTTTCATTTAGTAATGTTAGAGTATTAGTATAAGAGAAATAAAACAGGTACTTTCATTTAGTACCGTTAGAGTATTAGTATAAGAGAAATAAAACAGGTACTTTCATTTAGTAATATTAGAGTATTAGTATAAGAGAAATAAAACAGGTACTTTCATTTAGTAATATTAGAGTATTAGTATAAGAGAAATAAAACAGGTACTTTCATTTAGTAATATTAGAATATTAGTATAAGAGAAATAAAACAGGTACTTTCATTTAGTACCGTTAGAATATTAGTATAAGAGAAATAAAACAGGTACTTTCATTTAGTAATATTAGAGTATTAGTATAAGAGAAATAAAACAGGTACTTTCATTTAGTAATGTTACTGTAGAATATTAGTATAAGAGAAATAAAACAGGTACTTTCATTTAGTAATGTTAGAGTATTAGTATAAGAGAAATAAAACAGGTACTTTCATTTAGTACCGTTAGAGTATATTAGTATAAGAGAAATAAAACAGGTACTTTCAGTTAGTACCGTTAGAGTATTAGTATAAGAGAAATAAAACAGGTACTTTCATTTAGTACCGTTAGAGTATTAGTATAAGAGAAATAAAACAGGTACTTTCATATTTAGTACCGTTAGAGTATTAGTATAAGAGAAATAAAACAGGTACTTTCAGTTAGTACCGTTAGAGTATTAGTATAAGAGAAATAAAACAGGTGCTTTCATTTAGTACCGTTAGAGTATTAGTATAAGAGAAATAAAACAGGTACTTTCATTTAGTAATATTAGAGTATTAGTATAAGAGAAATAAAACAGGTACTTTTCATTTAGTAATATTAGAGTATTAGTATAAGAGAAATAAAACAGGTACTTTCATTTAGTAATATTAGAATATTAGTATAAGAGAAATAAAACAGGTACTTTCATTTAGTAATGTTAGAATATTAGTATAAGAGAAATAAAACAGGTACTTTCATTTAGTACCGTCAGAGTATTAGTATAAGAGAAATAAAACAGGTACTTTCATTTAGTACCGTTAGAGTATTAGCGACATGGGTTGAAGAAGTAGGAGTTAATGTTAATGTTTCCTTTTGGTAGCTGTAACTTCTCAAAGCGTTCTACTATAACTGTTATTTTTCTACTTATTTTTGTCACAAATGTTTTATCCCTTTTGATCAATATAAAATAAGCATCAATATATAATCAGGTTTGGAAGATAATTAAAAACATTAAGGTTTTGTATGGTATGGAGGGTATCATGTGTTGAAGTGAGTTATCAAATCACAATCTCCTGTAGGCTTTGCTTAGCTTTAGCTTAGCTTTAGCTTAGCTGTAGCTTAG